GATGCGTTGACAGGCGCCACGAAAACGTGAAACATTCGAAACGCGTTGCCTGATAAAATTAGGGAGAAACGATGGCAAAACAGATGGACAAAAGAGGAAACAAGGGACATATGTTTCCACTGGTAGACAGAGCCGAGACTCTTGTTGAAACCGGTTCGACGTGTGTCTGGTCCAGGTTAGGTCAGTTATTCAAAAACTAAAATATCGCCTCATTAACGGCAACTTGTTTGCCAACTCTCTCTCAAGAGGCAAGAATACGCGAGCACCCTCGTTGTCTTAACCCTTGCTGTGGTGTTGATCGTTGCTTTCGTATCCCGTGTTTAGTTCCTCCATTAGTATAGCCAACGATTAATCGAGAGACAAGCGTTTTTTCGACTCGCGAAAAAAATGTCGAACGCGAGTATTTCGAGGCGAACGAAATCGTCGCTTCGTTTTCGTTCGGTTCGGTTACGAATCTTTTTTTCCACAAGGCAGTTTCACAGCGTACCGTCGAGAAGAATACGTCGACGCGAATACGAACACAGTCAAGGACGCCGGTGAAACTGCTCGAGGACTGTTTTTTTCCTCCTCGCGAGAGATCGTAAGTAACGAAGGTTCGGTTTGCCGGCCGTGTCGAAAGGTAGGAATTTTCAGGAATTATCGTGGAAGAAAACGATCGGCCGAGACAAGGAGCAGCTTGGCTCCTTTGTCCACGGCGTGGTGGAAACCGTTCGAACGAACGGAACAGGCAACGGACAGAGACTCGGACACTGTATAGAGTCGCGTGAATCGGTATTTTGCTTAATTCGTTCTCTCATCGCTCTCAACTTTGCGATAGTTCGCGGCGATGTAACATCCGATCACGAACGGACGTTCGCGCATCGCCCCGGTTATCTCACCAAGATTCAGGCAAGTCGTCGCGAGGGTCGGATAAGCAGAGTTCGTGCCTAGAGTCTTGCGACCGGTTCCGCGCCAATTAATCATCGTCCCGCGCGGTTAAGAGGCCAATTAAGCTCCGCTTTTGCAAGTCTGATTGTTCGTACGTGCGATCCGTGAGCTTAAATACGCGAGTTCACCTAGCTCGTTCGTGCTTTATCTATCGCGCTGCGCTCGAATTAAAATGTACTTTATGGCTCGTGTCAGCAGATAGCGATCGCCACAAGGATCTCTCTCTCTCTCTCTCTCTTTCTCTCTCTCGCTTTCGTTCGTCGCAGAATTGTTGCATACTGGCAATTCGAAAAACGTTATTCGTCCATAATTCCAGGTGATACGAATGATTGAAATGAATCAGTTCGAAATATTTGTCGCAGCTTTGAAAGAGACGAATTCTGAAACTGTGAAGTCTCGAATTGAACAGAATTCCTCGACATGCAAAATTTAACCAGTCTGCTGAGCGTAGAGCAATTTCTTTCGGTTAAACGGAAGAATGCTCGGGGACGCGGTAATGAACGACGTTGATAAATAGCAGACCGCATCGAGAACTCGAACCCTTCATAATTACACGTCTATGCTCACTGTCGATCGCATCTCTTGTAATCGACACCTGGCAATCCGTAAATGTCCCAATAACTGCCACGATCGGAGTATCTTTTTTATTATTATTATTATTATTATTATTAGATATGCTATTGTTCGACTTGAAGGAATATTGCATATTTATCGCGCAGACTTTTTCAAAGTTCAAAGTTCAATAGAGATTGTTCTCTTTTAGTCTCACAGATCCATTTTTCTCCCGTGCAAGAAAACAAGAACGCACGTTGACGTCGATAAGAGATGTATCTCGCACCGTTGCGAACCAAGACTAGATGTATCAACGTCGACGCCTAATAACACCTCGTAGCCTCGTTCTTCGAGGATCCGCAACAGTAACGACGACCGTGAACGCCGCCGGGTAATTTGGCACAATGATATAATTACACGTCACTGGCGATTATCTCGATTGCTCGTATCATAGAACAACCACGTTGGGATCTACGTTCCGCGCAAGCTTCACAACGCCTTGCGAAAGAGTTCACCGCTCGAGTCGGGCAAGATTTAACGTCGAAGATCGACAATTGCCGAGATTCTTACACACGTTCAAGTACCAAAATCATGATCGATTCGCATAAAACGAAAAAGAAAGGGAAACAACAAACGTGCAGACGAGTAGATGAAACGAGGTTAGATCGCGCAAAGAGAATAGCAAATCAAGAGTAGAAAAGAAGAGAAGGCGGAACGAGAAGCGAAGGCGTGCGTGCAACACGCGAGCTGACCGCACGCGTGTAAAGATGGTTCCTTCAGACGACGTCTGACGAGCCGGCAAACGCCGACTTGGACTGCAACTACGACTCTCTGACTTCGAGTTCGACTTGGACTCGCAGACTGTGTGTCGACTCGAGACGAGGCTTCCCTTCAAAAGCTGTACGTATGTCGGGACCTATCACGATGGGCGTCCATGTACGAAAGATCGGGCTGACGTCGAAGTACAGGGATCGTTACTCGTGGGAGTCCGTGAGAGGGCTAGCGTTGATTGACGCGCGACGTTACGCCAAACTCGGCGGCACGCGAGCCAAGCAAACGGCCTCGATTGGTAGCGATTTCGCCTCGGTAACTGGCAAATAAACCCACCGACTACAAGTGCAGATGGAGAATCCGAAGTGGATATGGACATGATCCTTCCATCCGTGGGTCGCGAATCTCAGCCCGTTGTACGTACGCTGTGCGAAACCGTGCCGATTATATACTGCCGACTATCCTTCGCCTGCTACCAGATTGCTAGATTACAGTCGTTCGTCAAGATGTTACCAGCTTACCGAATGAGTGGCTTCGAGCCAGACGGCCGAGAATCCGCCGTGCGCTATGGAAATTCCGATTCCTTCTCGACAATTTCTCCACCCCTCGATTCTACTACAGTCTCGAAGGCATCGTTGCTCGTATACGCGGACTCGCTGCTGTTTTCCCAATTCGAGATGAGATTTCTGTCCCACGATGAACGAGGATCCTGGTTTGTTGACTGATCGGAAGTCGACATGATTCGACGAGTTTCGCGTCCGTGTTTCACGATGCATTCTCTCTCTCTCTTTTTCTCTCTATCTGTCTATCTGTCTGTCTGTCTCTGTATGAGAATATACAGAGTCGACGATAACGGGGAATTCTTTTATGGACGCACGTTCTAACAGTAGCTTAAAATACCGAACGAACGTCTACCAGGGAGGTCTCGTGCGTCGTTTAATTACCGTGTGTAACGAGTTCGAGTGGCTGCCGTGCGCACGAAACCCCTCTCTTGAGAAAGGGGTGCGATATGCTCGCTGACGTCGTCCACGAATCACTCGAAATTACCGAGTACCGTTGCGACTACTCACACCCCTTTCGTGTCTCTTCCTCCTTTCTCTTTCTCTCTCTCTCTCTCTCTCTTGCTTTTTCTCTTTCTCTCACTCTTTCTTTATACACCACCCCTTGGCAGCCTTCCTCCTGTCTCGGCCAGCAACGCCACCCCTTGCTCCGCCTTATTCAACCGGCCACCTTTTCTACTCGTACGCACAGCAGCGCGTTCAATCCGCCAGATAATCGGTACAATTACAAAACCGACCATAAAGGGGAGGTATCCCCCCGTACGAATGTATCGGTCGCCAGGCCACGCTGCTCTGCGTCGCGCCACGCCGCGCCGTTGCCTTGACTATTTTTCGTCCGCTTTGAAGAGTCGTGGCGCACGAAGGTAGGAGATTTCAAGCTGGGCGAATCTTGACATGGAAGAAGCAGAGAGGGTTGAGTGTTAAGTACGACAAAAATGTCGAGAGGAGCGTCACGGTAGTAGGAGGTTGTCTTTTGGGAGAAGGGTCTCGACTCGAAGGGTAGGCCTCGTTGATACGACGAGGGTGGAGGACCAGGGGAAAGAACGAGATACCCAAGGGTCTCCCTGCAGTCAGCTGTTTTAATGTGGGTCACCAGTTCCTACAAAACGATCGATTTCCGTCTAACTGCAAATTCCATGTTCTTAATCCTTCGTCCTTTATCGATGTTCGGCCGGTAGCTTGAGACGTTGCCGAACAAACTGCCATAACGTTTCAGACCAGCTGGTTTCGACATACGCGAGAGACCGTCGTCCTCTTCGATAGAGGCGTCCTGCAAGATCGTACCTTCGATCGATCATCCAAACATTCGTCCACTTTTCGTCGAGCTGCCACGATACCATCTACGCGATCGCGATAACATCGAGAGATGTTGAAAGAAGCCGACGATCTGGCGCTAAATATTCCATCGGCTCGTGTTCCGCCATGATTTATGCTCGCTCGAACAATGTCGAAAAATAACGGGCCGCGTGAAACAGATGTTCGGTGTGGACGTTGCGATTTCAACGATACTCGAACCCCTCGTGCCCCGATTACGAAAAAGTATAGTGGAGCGAGGAGACGCGAGATCAGGAGCTCGCCTAGTTTCGTGAAGAAAAAAAGACCTCGTGGTTGTTTACTCGTACCGAACAACCCTGCTGTGCACATGCTGCTCTGTAAGATATAAGCTCGACTTCGCGCACATGGCAAATACATATTTATGTAGGAGGCGTAACTCGCATCGCTCTAAGAACGCCAACTTCCAACAAACTCACTGATCCGATAAAAAAAAGTCGAGGAGTAAAACAGAAGCTGCACCGTTCATTTATGGAATTCTCGTGTCCACGATTGAAAGCAAACGATTTAATTTCAAGGAAGGTGACTCTTTCGCTCATTAAGAAGTTCCTTGGCATCCTTGTAATTATAAACACTTATAGCATTTAAAAGGCTATACAACTACGATCATTTCCTTCTATCAACACTGATTTATAAATCCTTTGCTCTTCAACTATAGTAATCAAATCGACATTTTTCACGTCGCGAATCAGTTATGTATGAACTCTCAATCTTGTGCTTCGATAGTGACGTTAATTTTATATTATCTAATCGAACATTACCTACTCATTATTTGCTCGTGATTGCTCACGTTAATTTTCTACGTCATGTGAACTTTATTACATCTTAATATTATATTTCAATGAAATTGTTACATTTTTAACCATTTTGTTTTAAATCCGTTACGCTATACAAGTAGGTATCTATATTATATCTACCTAATTAAGAACATCTCTTACTCGTAAATAAATCATTTAAATTAAATTTTATTTATCAGTGAAGTCTATCATACCTGAGTATCGAATTGTTGCTCGATTCATTACCAGCCGATACGCGATTCCTCGAACTCGTTCGACTATTTCCTCCCCCTTGTTCTTCTTTTTCTTTCCCATAAAATTTGTTTTTAATTAAGCTATTTTAAGTTAAATTAAACATTTCTTTCATTACTTGGTTCCGTAACAGCAATTAATAATGCCGCGTCACGCCCATTCACCATCTTCTTGATTACTTTTCCATAGGCGCCGTAGTTTATTGTATGTATAAACGACTCTGTTCTATATATAGTCGATAACAAAGTCGATACGTAATAACGTTTCACATGACGCATGTATTGCATTTAAATGCGACGAAAGAATTCGTATTGTTTTTACCCGAAGCACGATGTTACACGCGCATTTGTAACGAACGAACTTTCCAGATCATAACGCGCATATTTCAGATAAGCGACACTGTTCAACACTGATCAATGAGCAAGCCGTACCGAAGAGCAAACCGTACGAGATCCCGCAAAACTTTGCGACTAGATGAATAAAAATTCGGGAACCGATAAATGGGAATATCGCGGATGATCGGTGGCACGAACAGAAGAAAGACAAGGAGTCACGGAACGGGAGCTTGGCGCCGTTACGATACAATGCCGACCCCGAGATGACTTGCATTCATATCAAGCTGCACGGCGAGGAATCGACGATCCTAGCCACAGGCGTTTTCGTTCGACTTCCTTCTTGCCAGCCTTCCTATGAATTCACGTTATCGGCGAGCAACGATTTCATCGTCTGCCGCGTTTATTATTAGATTCCGTACTCGGCACCGACGCCGAGTTCGTGGCCTCGCGAGAGTTTTTCCACGAGAAGATGGAACCAACTGCGATGCTTCTCTCGAGGAAGAATTAAGCACATAATCCTTGGAAAGATTCAACGGCTCTGGCAGAAACGATTAAACGACGGGAGAGGACAGAAGACTACCTGCTAGAGAGAAGCAGGAAAAAAATTAAGAAGCAAAGGAAATTGTCGGGAAAACGAAAGACAGAGGCAATACGCCGGAGATGATGGAAAAATGGAAAGAGACGCAGAAGGCACGGTTAATCCTTCTTGTTTGTCTTTACGTTAATTATCTAGAATTAAGGAGGCTGCTTGTCGCGGCGCACCGGCCGGATTACTGGCTCGATTATTACTTATTGCAGATTATTAATTACCGAGAATTACCAACTTGACTGGGGTTCAACTTCACGAAGGGGAGCGAAAGAGCGTTCGAAAGAAAGCTCGATAGCGGACTTACAGCGAAGGCGGAATCGATTTCTCGTCGAAGGAATTGCAGCGTGTTTCCAGTTTGCGTTGAGAAACGCTGGAAGCGGAGAATCACGCGCCCTCATTAACGGGAAACGCGAACGCCAGCATGAAATTCTGGTCGACAACAATGAAACGATGCGTGTGATAAAAGAAATGTGAGCTGTAACCAACGTTGCAATATGCAGTGGGGGAAAACGGGAAAACATCGGACCGAGAACGATGATAGAAGAAGACCGTGATGAGATTGGTTACAGCGCCCGTGCTGCAACAAAATATACGCGTATCTGTGTCAAAAGCAACCCCCGCCGGACAATAATAGAAGCCCTTAAAAACGTAAAGCTGCCTAGCGGGCCAGGGTTGAGCGCGCGTGGGTTATGAAACTGAAAAAGGAAAAAGGAGAAAAAAATGCGGAGCGGCCGAGCCAGCTGCCGTATTCGATACAATCGCCGGGCGGATAAGTTCTCTGCAGAAGATAAATGGAAGCATCGGGGCTCGATCGCCGCCAACAACCACGGGAACTTGGTACTCGAGCCAGGGAATAATTGCTCACTGGGAAAACACGATTTCACGAAACGATGTTTCTCCGCTTCTCCTTGTTGTTCGCCTGGTCTTTAGCTCTGCCTGTCTCTTCCTCCTTTCCTATCCGCTTCGACTTGGAAATCGTACTACTTTCCATACGCGTGCGCGCGTGCTTAACTGGAAAGCGCGTACCCATTTAATCGCGTAGCTAGACTCGAGACGCGATTGTGCATAAGCACACGGCAACAACGAGAGAGGAGCTGGGAGGAACGAGCCAAGGAAATAAATATTAATAACGATGCTTCCTCCCCCCTGTGCTTGCTGCAACCCTCCTCCTGTCTTTCTTCTCTCTCTTTCTCGTTCGCGAACGTATTCTTTCCATCTCTCCTCCTCCCGCCCTCCCACTCGCGCCTTTCTTCCCCCGATGCAACTAGACTCTCGTTCCCTTCCATCCCAACCCTCCATCTTGCCCCTTCCTCTGCCTCCCTCCGTCACTCCGCCTCCCCTCTCACCTTCTCTCTCTCTCTCTTTCTCTCTCTTTCTCTCTCCGTTAGTCTCCGAGTGCGCGTCTGTACATTGTTAGGGCCATTACGGGAGCCAATTAATCTATGCACAATTTTATAATTAAACGGCTAATAGCGCATAGAATTATAGTCCAGGGCCGCGCGCACTCCCACGTATCCTGCCGCGTTCGTGAGTTACGCGTACGCGGCGAGAAAGACATTTAAGGGAAGGAAGAAGGAAAGGAAGAAGATAGAAACGAGGAAATCTCGTTCGTGTGCGCGGATTCTTATCGCCATCTGCGGCTCGTTCGTTCGCTTTCTTGCTCGCGCGCTTGCTCATTTTTCTTTCATCTTCTACCATGTCTCGATGGAAACGCAATTGGGACACGCGGACGTTTCGCGGCGATCCGCACTGCTCGGTAAGAATTCAGCAAATTGACGAAGATAATTGGCGAACGTCTCGTTAGCGAACGTAGGTATGGCATCAATTAGCCGTATCCGAAGAGAAAGGAACATGAAACCAGCCTCGACGCAATCGGAATCGGGGACAACGCGGTGACGATTCTTGCGTAGGCAATAGTCCAATTGTGTATTTTCGATCCTTAATCCGAGGGGTGATGAACACGGGTTGAGTCCGGGGGAGAACACGGTGGCCGGACAGGAGGAAGCGAGCGTTGCAACGCAGCCGGTGCCACGCTATAAACCGCAAGAAAAATCCCCCTGAATTATCGGTGCGGTTCTCGGTGCATGCTGTTGCATCGATGGCGATAGAAGCGTGCTGGCCACGGCCGGAGGACCGTGTAACTGTGCGCGCGGACCAACGGTCCATCGATGGAACATCGGTGTGTAGCCGTTGCCGCTGTTACCACTGCCGTGCATTATCAGAATGTAACGACGTCACCGGTACACGCGACCAACCATCCCGGACCGCACACGCGAGAGAACCATACCGTGGTCTCTTAATCATCCGATTTTTCCTGGCGATTCGCCCCCTTTCACCCTCGTTTCACCCTGTCTCCTCTCATTTTTCCAATCGATTTTCGAACAGCACGCTCTCATACTCGCCGAGAGGACGAACCGCGTTAATTCCCATACATCGTAGACCAATTACGTACTTGATGATTTTAACGATTTTGACGTTCCAATCGTTAAAGGGAAATGTTACGAGATGGTGCAACGAACCACGTGCAATCTACGGATAAGACAACTTACGAAACGAAAGATCGGTGCTGTCGGTATTTCGATCGAGAATTGCGGATCTTTGAAGAAGAGAAAGATCGTGCGAAAAAGGGCTCGCGCACGAGCCGACGGCTCGGCCAACTCTGTTCTGTGACTACGACTCGGATTATTTGGATCCCTATCCCTATAGTTCTCTCTCTCTCCTGTTTTCTCTTTCTCCCTCTGTCCCTCTATTTCCCATCTTCGTTCCCTCCGCTCGCTATCCCTCGACTCTCTTTCTCCTTCGCCCTCTCGGTGTCGCGCTGAATCCGTTTCCGTTGTGACTGCCACTGCGCGTTGCTCGCCGCGATACTATTGTCCACCGACGTTACCGTTTCGCGATCGTGTTCACCACTTCTTACGCTTTATCCCTTCCAGGTGGCTCTTGGTTTCAAAGCACGACAATTTGGCAAAATGAAAAAGCAAAGGCGAGCCGAATTAAAGGGGAGAGAGGATGTACGCCGGGGTGTAGAACATCTAGGAAGACTCTAAAGTCGGGGACAATAATTTCCCCGATAACAGCGGATCCCCTCGTTCCGTTTACCATTCCGTTTCGTCTGCCGTCTGACTCGTGGGTGGGGTAAGCTTGTACTACAGCCACTTCTCTCTGTCTCGTCGGTGGGGACGATTCATTCAGAGAAACTGCCGTGAAAGGGACACCTGTTGGCACGGAGGCCCGTTGACAATTCCAGATACAAGGGCACGTGCCTTTACCACAGCCTCCTTTTGCGTAAATAATATTGGCGAGGGCCGAAAATAAACTGAAACGAATCGTTAGAATCGGTAGTAAAAATCTTCTAAAAGATAAAAGCAAGGTATCATCGAACGAATAGAGAAAATTTCTAGACAACGAATGAAAAACAAACTATGGACTATAAATGACAAGAGAAGAATCGTCCGTAAACTTTGGTTAGGAAAAAAACGGAGCACGTGTCGGGATGATGGTAACGCGCGATTAAAATATTTTTGGTCGACCGGTAGCTCGGTAAGGAACGTAGCTGGCCGAAGATAAAGTGCTGCCCAGAGGCGACACCAGGCGTTATTAATACACGCGAGGATCGTAGCTTCTGTTCTCGGCAACAGAAGCTACAAAAAGTGCACAAATAACCGTAGGTGGAGGTTCTGTACGATCGTTGTTGTCGTAGTGAGAACAATCGGGAGATGAGAACAATTTCATACGGAGCGATGGTATACCAGGTTTAGAAAGGTTCGTTGGAAACGAGGCGATCGAACGTGCGATCGATCGGTCGCTTTTTCGTTGCCCTTTTTAATTAAGAGGGGAAGATAGCTGCTGCTACTGCAAATAGCATCGGTCTATTTCCGCTTACCTGGCCGTGGTGCAGTCCCTGTAGAGTATATCGAAGTCCTTGCAGCTGAGCAGCTTACATCGATTGACGCCTGGCTGGATGGCTCCGAGTCCACGGAGAATCCTAACTTGTTCGACATTGCACACCAACGGCACTATATCGAGCCTCTTGAGCTTTGTGTAGACGGTGTGCAGGCCACCGACAAGGTGCTTGAGAAAGAGCTCGAACGCCTGTGGCAGACAGAGCATCGTGTCCCCGGCGATGATGAACGCGGCCACCTTCTGGCCACGATAATCGACCAGTTTGCACTCGTTCGCTGTGGGATCGCTGGTACTGATCGGCGGCGGACTGTTGTACGATCTTGGAGGTAAAACAGCGTGATGGGCGGCCATCAACTCGAGCGGCGAGCCATGATGACCGCTGAGCATGCCACCGAGTTGTCCCAACAAGCCAAGACCCGGTGGCGGTAAGCCTGGCATACGGGGTACCATGCCTGGCGGTGCACCGGGCGCTCCTCCGGCGGAAAGAGGCGGCGGACTCAACGGAAGTCCCTGAGGTGGCGAGCCTCTCGTTGGCGATCCCGGCGTGGGAACGCCGCGGTGCTGTTGCTGTTGCGATTGTTGCTCGCGAATCTGATCTCGCGGATGAGGCTGTTGATGTGATGGCGGCGGTTGATGCTGCGACCCGTGAAGCTGTTGTTGACCTTGCTGAGCCGACGGGCTGTGTGGATGTTTCGGACTGCCAGTTACGGGACTAGCGCGGCTGCTGTGGTCGGAAGAGCTATCCATCGCTCCGTGATCCATCGACGTTCCGCAGGACACGCGTCTTTCTCTTATCGACCACGTTCCTTAGAATTTATTCTACTACCTTTTCACTAAGAACTCCTCCACCTTCTCCTCCTCGCCCGTCTCTCTCTCTCTCTCTTTCTCTCTCTCTCTCTCTTACTTTTGCTCTCGCTTTCTCCCGGTCGTGGTTCTCGCCACGTGGACACCACGAGATACGAGAAACTCAGAGTACCGGCACGAGTCAACGCATATTAGACCGACCTCTCCTTCTTTTCGCAGCGATTCCAACTCGTTCGGCTGCCGAAACCAGCCGACGAGGAAGCTCTCGTCGATCCAGGATTGACTACAGGAATCTCGGCTCTTCGCAAGCGTCACTGTCACTCGGGTGAACTGCCGCGTCTCACGGAGTACGTTGGACGGTGTACGTAGGTAACAACTTCACTGTGCACAACCACTCGAATAACAGTGTCCATGACAATTGACCGCTGTCACTCGATACGAGCCTCGACCTCGGCTGCGTTCTCGTTACGGACAGGTCCGTGTTTCGCGTAATGCTGATCAGCTACGTTCGAGGAGCAGCCGAGCTGCCCCTCGTTCAACGATTCACCAACCACGAGTTTTGCTTCGCGACGCGTAGTTGCTTCTCTTCTCACTGATGGAACTGTTTCACACGACTGAGTAAACGACTAGACAATATACGATGTCGCGCGTGGCTGTTCCTTGCCTTTGAGAAACGCGTATGAACACCGAATCGTCGTCGACGGGACAGGAACGATCGGCAGGACGGGACTGACGCGTCTACAAGTGACGCGTGGCGCGCACGACCGCGACGTACACCGCGGACGCAACGACGAGGATGAAGATGGTGTCGCGAGTGATAGTAATCGCGATAACGGCAACGATGACAACCACGAACACAACGACGACGACAACGATGACGACAATGTCAACGGTGGCAACGGCGACGGCGACGGCAACAGCGACGGCGGCGGCGACGACGACGACGACGGCGGCGGCAGCAGCGGCGGCGGCGGCGGCGACGACGGCGGCGACGACGACGACGACGGCGACGACGAAAGCGGCTGCGGCTGCGGCGGTAACTCGCAGGGACGCGCGTCGCTCGTTCTCAAAGTGGCAAACGCTCTCTCGGTCGAGTCGGGAGTATTTCCCTACCCAGTCACAGATGTAATAAATAAAAACATCAGTGGGAGCCCGAGGAACGGGGAGGATGGGCGTTCTGTGCGCGCAACCGACTATCCGGTTGGCGGAGCCACCGGGGTGGCAGTTCTCCCTATTGGACGGTAACCTCGTACCGTCGACGCCTTTCGAACCTTCCCTCGACTGGTGGCGGGACGAGCGAGTATTCCCCACTACGAAACAACCTCTGCCACCGACGACGCGCACCGACGATGCCGACCGGGACGATTCCGGGGGCGACTAACACACGGAGACATCCAGACGCAGACGCGAGTCTCGACAAGACAGTACGATTCGAACCTACCGCCGATCTACGCGCTACGAGTGGGGATTTCTTCTTTTTCCTCGCGACCTCTCCCTCCATACCACTCTTTGCTCTCTCAGCTCGCCTTTCCTCGCTACCCCTCGTAGCTCGCATTACTCTTTCCCTCGCCTCACCTAAACCTAACCTCCCCCTAGCACCAACCCACCCCACCGCGTTCCTTGTCGCGTTTCGGCTCTTCCCTTCTCCTCTTTCTTCTTTCTCCTTTCTTTTCTTTTTTCTCTTTTCTGCTTTATGCCTTCTTCCGCACAATAACCCCTCGCCTACTACTTTTTCTTTCCCGTTCGCCACTCTTCTGTTTGACTCTTCTTCCCTTTACTAACCCCTTCGTTCTTCTCCTTATACTTTTCACTTGTTTTCTGCGTTTCTCACTCGCCTCCTTTCTTTCTGTTTCGTTCTCTTTTCTGCACCCAGACTTTTCTATTCGCTACCTTCCTTTATTTTCCTCTCTTTTTCACCTGTCTACCACTTCTCCCTCCCCCTCCCTCCTCCACCCTTGTTCTCTCTCGCTCTCTCTCCCGTTTTCTCTCTTCGCACGCACTCGCGCCTTCCCTATCTCGAACAAATGCTCCTACTCTCTCTCTGCCTGCCTCTTCGTAGCTCCCTCCCATTTCTTCTTCCACCTTCTCCTCCCACCTTGGCCTATGGCTTATACGCTCTCTTGAACTCGCGCTCTCTCGCGCGACCAGCAGCAGTCTCCACCTCGTTTCCTCTTTCGCACCCGTCCTATTCTCTGTGACGTTCTCTCTCTCTCTCTCTCTCTCTCTCTCTCT